CCGCTATGCCCCCCCCCCCCCCCCCATCCCCCATTTCCGGCCCCCGAACAAAAGGCGGCGTCGCCCGCTGCCCCCCCGGCTGTGAGGGGCGCGGCTCAGGCCCAGGCCCGGCCCCGTCGGCACTCACCGGCGCGCAGGCCCGAGGCGGCCGGGCCAGGCCCAGGCCCGGGGCCGCTCAGCGCCGCCCCCCGGCGCGGTACGGCGGTGCCCGGCTCGCCATGGCAGGGCAGGGCAGGGCCGGGCCTGGCGCTCGCTGCTCCCCCCGCCCGGCGGTGCGGCGCTGAGGGGAGGAGACGGCGGAGGGGGGAAGGAGGAGGGAGGGAGGAGGGAGGGGCGCTGAGACCGGTGCGCATGCGCGGCCCGCCCCCTCCTGCGTGCCAGCCAATAGGGAGGCGTCGCCGCGACCGTGACCAATGGGGAGAGGGCGCCGCCGCGCGGGGACGGAGAGCGGGCGGGGAGCGGAAGGGGCGGGGCTAGACCGGGGGCGTGGTTATCGTTGGAGGCGTGGTCTGGGCGGGGAGCGTGATCAAAATGTGGGCGTGGTCAAACGGGGGCGTGGTCATTGTGGGCGGGGCTTGGGGCGGGGCTTAGCGCCTCGTGGGCGGTGCGGGGGGAGGCGGGGCTGCGTGGCCGCTCCCATAGAGACCCTAAGGAACCCCCACCGCGTGACCTCCCCCCCCCCATAGCTGCCAGCCCGCGGGGACTCCCGTAACGCCCCCCACGGATCTGCCCTGCCCATCCCCAACTCCCCTCCCTATAGCAATCCCCGCCCTACTGACCCCTATGGACCCCCACGTGACCCCCCCTGAGTGACCCCCCCACATTCACCCCCACAGTGGACCCCCCCATGGACCCCCATATCCTCATTACCCCCCCATATTAACCCCAGGGGGGACCCATCCCCACACATCCCCCCATAAGGATCCCTAGAGAACCCCAGTCACGCTTCTAGGGACCCCCAAAGTGCCCCCTACCCCTGTTCCCCCTCCCCATAGTAGCCCCAAGGGGGTCCCATCCCCCCATATCTCATCCGTAGCGATCCCCACGGAGCCCCATAGCGACCCCCATTCCTGTTACCCCCATAGTGACCCCCAGAGACCCACCAAAGTGACCCTACAGACCCC